GTACATGAGAGTTGTCTACAGTGTTGCCAGGACTCAATATTGATTCATAAGCACAAATGAAATGGTATTAACAAAAAAAATAGAATGAAACTGATTATTAGAACTGAGAAAACAGGAAGGCCCTTTTTGTATTTTTAAAATTGCCTCAAGATGGCAACAACTGGTCTGCAAAACTCATCCAAGCAGGAAAAAGAATTCTGGATCACAACAGTATAGACAATATTTAGCCACTAGAGGGCAATATTTAAATGAGAATATATAATGGAGACATACCAATTGATATTTTCTATGGCAAGTATAATTAAAAGTAGACATAAAAGCAGTACAAAAAACATTGGAATGCCAAAACAAAATCCAAGGGCTGTGCTCTGTCAAACCAGCCCTTGCATATTTTGCTAGCAGTTTCTGATAAAATGGTAAACAACTGTTTACTAAAGGTTTGGCAAGTGTTTCACTTTTAAAGTGAGTTTGAATTCACTCAAACACCCAGTTGCATGCCTTATTCTGTGCTTGACGTGTTTTAGAAGGATCGCATATGTATATCAGTGGGTTTATGAATTCCACCAAAGCAATAAAATGCGCGGTCCTGATTAGCGTATTTCCATGCTGACTGCAAGTTGAACTGTAGAGCCTGTAGATTCAGCTAGGAGACCAACTCGGTCATTCCAGAGATCTTCGAAAACCGTACACGCAGGGCGTTAGCAAGGCCAAAATGGGAGTTTGCACAGCACGGGGCAGGCAAAACTAGCACTCAACCTCTTTCCCCACCTTCTCAGAAAGGCTGTCGGGGGTCCACTCCCTGAGATCAAGAACTGAGCCGCCTATAATCCAAAAACAAACGGTTCGGATGGCTATCAGAAAGCGATCCACTTTCTGCCGCCCACCCCCTCCCAGCACAGCCACAGTAAGGGTCGCGCTTTCCATGGCTTCCGCTCCGTTTCTCACACCCCAACCTCCATCCACCCGTTACTGTATTAGGTGGACGAAAGGTTCCTTGCTTTGGGAGCTAGTTGGGCGGGGTATTGCCAATCCGAGTAATATCGGACGGAGGGCGAAGAGTCTGCCTCCAAATTATACGGAGGTGCCCGGGTTGTTCTTAGGACGGGCTTTCTTTCCCGGTTGCTTCGCTGCCTCAACCCAGAAACCCCTTTTAAGTCCAGAAGGAACCCGCCGAGAGTGACAGGCCAGAGAGCTGCCCTTTCGCTCCCACGGCTTGAGCCAAGACAGGCGGCTGCCCTCTAAGCAGAGCCGCCGTCTTGGCCACTCGAACGACGTTAGCCTTTTATTTCCCGAAAGGCCGCTCCTAGGTTGGCTTCCCGGTCCCGATCAAAGGTGGCAAAGTAGCAGGGGAGGTCCGGGTACTGCAGGCCAATCCCAACAGCTGCCTCTCCTTCAGCCGCCCCCGTCTAGGCGCCCAGAGCCAGACCCGCTGCCTCCACCTCCCGGGACTTCTCCAGCCACACCCTCTGCCGTCAGAAAGGGCAGGGAGGTGGGGTCGGAGAAGCGATGTCGATATAAAGGGCCGTGACGGCACCTCGCCGCCAGGTTTTCCTTTTCAAACGCACGTGTGCGATCTCGGCCTCTCAAGCGTAGTCCGAGGGCGCGAAAGCTTGAGAGATTTCGGGGGGCGAGAAACGTCCGGGGAGGCCACAGGTCAAGGAACGAGCCGTACCGACGGCCAGTTAAGTTTCCTCACCTTCCCTCTGAATTCTCCCTTATTTCGCGAGTTTGCAATGAGCGCCGCCACCCTGGACCCCTTGGACTCGCTTTCGTGCTACAGAACCTGGTCTCTGGAGCCCGCCAATTTCTACGACGCCAAGGCGGGGGAAGGCAGCGGCGGTCTGAGTCCCTCCTGCAAGGCGAGCAGCGTGAGCGTCGCCCAGGCGAGCGAAGAGTCCGGGGGGATGTGTTCAGCTCCGAGCAGCGGCAGCCGCGACCTGGCGGAGCTGAGTGCCGCCGCACCGGCCATGTACGAGGACGAGAGCGCCATCGACTTCAGCTCCTATATTGACTCCATGGCGGCCGTGCCGAACTTGGAGCTGTGCAACGACGAGCTCTTCGCCGACCTCTTCAACAGCAACCACAAGGGCGGCGAGCGTAGCGGGGGCTACGGGGATTACTTGCCGGCACCGCCGCCGCCAGCGTCCGGAGGGAGCGCCTTGGCCAGCCTGTTGCACGCCAGCGTCCTCCCCGGCCCGCTTCGGGGCGCCGTCAAGCAAGAGCCAGACTGGGGCGAGGAGGCATCGGGCTCGCTGCTGCCCTCCCAGATTGCTGCTTGCGCCCAAACCATTGTCAACTTGAACGGGCAACCCACGCCGCCCACCTCCCCAGAACCTCCGGGCAGCGCCTCGCCGTCCAGCTATAGCAGCCGCTCTTCGGCTTCGTCGTCGTCAGGGTGCAAAGAGCGGTCGGGCAAAAAGGGCGTGGACAGGTTTAGTCCGGAGTATCGGCAGCGGCGAGAGCGCAACAACATTGCGGTGCGCAAGAGCCGCGACAAAGCGAAGCGCCGCAACCAAGAGATGCAGCAGAAATTGGTCGAGCTGTCCGCCGAGAACGACAGGCTGCATAAGAAGATTGAGCAACTCAGCCGGGACTTAACTAGCCTCCGACACTTCTTCAAGCAGTTGCCCAACGCCTCTTTCCTGCAGCCCTCCTCGGTCACGGACTGCCGGTAAACGGCTGCAGGCAGGGCCGCCCATACGCGAGAGACTTTGAACTTCTTCATGAATACCTCAGCGCGAGTCGCACAAACTGTAGCGGGGGCTGCGGGGGGAGGGCAGGCTAGAAGACTCGGGCTGCCCCGGGGACTGTGCCAAAGGTGCGCGGAGGGAGCGGGAGGGCACTCCTTGCCTCGCCTCTTCCCTCATGCAAGAAACAGCCTGGAAGGCCGGACTGAACTACGCCGGAGTGGGGAGGGGTTAACAACCTGTATGCGTGCGTGCGTGTGTGTTTTGGCTTTTTTTTTTTGAATGGGCTAAGCTTGGGGCTTTTTAACCACAAAACTTGCCAAAAAGTTTTTTTTTTTTAAACGAAAGAGAAGCTAACCGACTTTTCTCCTAAATTATTTTTATAATGATCATCCTCCCTTTCCCCTCCCCTTTGGTTGATGCAGCTATGGTACTTTGTAAGAAATGATTTTTCAGACTTTTCAAACACTTTTTATTATAAATAGTATGAGGAAAAAGTTGACGGAGCTTGCTCAAACTTTTATATAAAATTTTTACAGCATTTCTAAAAATAAAAATCCTTTGAAATGTATTTGACTTCGTATTTGTTGTGATGAAAACATGTACAGGGAATGTAGCAAAACCTAAGTGTACCATCCAGATGAATGATAAAGTACCATGGTCAGTATTTCCTCAAAGGCATTTAAATGTCAATTATATAGTTACTGAATACTTTTAAAAGTGCAAATACAAGCAGAAGATACATAGGTGCAGTGATTGAATAGTTAATGGAAAACCTATGATTTGCTCTTGGATATATAGTTAGCTTCATATAGGGTCCAACTACCTAAAGGAGAGTCCCACGCTGCCTGGAAAGGTTCCTCACGAAATTTGTTACAGCTTCAGACTGTAAAGAAATTTATTTCCATAGGTAAGAATTCCATTTTTATAGAGATGCATAAAAATCATCAGGTAATGGAAATATACCCATGTCCAAAAAGGACATAGTGTTTGCACAAAATATTTTGAGCCAAATGCCACTATTAGATTAATGCACAGTATTGTGAAATTGCAGTGCAATAACAAATTGGGAGTAGGCATGAGATTAACAGGCTGAGAAAAAATTCTAAATAGTGTAAGTAATTAGCACTGGAGAAGTATTCCAACTGGTAGAAAAAGATCAACTGTGAGAACAAAGCTTCAAAAATTTGTCTAAGGATTTTTCCACAGGAAAAAAATAAAGGTTATTTTGTCTTATTTGCAAATCACACTGGACTATTTCTAAAAAAAAAAAGTACATGAGAGAAGGGTGAGACTTGGAATGGTGATGTTACAAGATAATTCCACTGCTCTGATTTACATGCTTAAGAAAAGGTTTTTAAAAACCTTTTTAAGATTACATGAAACTTTGTATATATCACATGCATTTTCTTCTGCAGCAAGATACAAAGAGAAGGCATAACAGCCATGGCTTCCAAAGCTACCTATAAAGTTCAAAATACAGGTAGTCCTTGACTTATGACCATAACTGAAGCCAACATTTCTGTTGCTAAGCAAGGTAGTTAAGTGAGTTCTGCTTCATTTTACGACCTTTTTGTCACAGTTAAGCAAATCATTGCAGTTGTTGAATCATACAGTCATTAAGCAAATCTGGCCCCAGAATAGCACAACTATTATATATACATGCCAGTTGCCAAGTGCCTGAATTTTGATTGTGTGACGATGCTGCAACGCTTGTAAATATGAAAACGGTCATGTCACTTTTTTCAATGCTGTTGTAATTTTGAAAGGTCACTAAGTCGAAGACAGTCTGTGCACAGGTAGTCCTCAACCTACAACTATTTGTTTACTGATTATTTGAAGTTAACAGCACTGAAAAGTGACTTACAACCATTTTTCACACTTAAAACTTGCAGCATCCCTGAGGCCATGTGATCAAAATTTGTGCACTTGACAACAGGCTTGTATTTGTAAGAGTTGCAGTGTCCTGATGTCATGTGATCACCTTTTGTGACCTGGCAAGTAAAGTCAATGGGGAAGCTAGATTCGCTTAATAACTGCAGTGATTCACAAGGTTGATGGCAAGGTAGGTTGTAAAACAGAACAAAATTCACCTAACTGCCTCACTTAGCAATAGAAATTTTGAGTTCACTTGTAAGTCAAGGATTACCTGTACCATGATGGGTTTAAACTTTTCATTCTCTGCCTTTCTGTCTATCAGGATGTCCTCAACAGAAAACATTTTGTTCTCTACAGCACCTAAATTTACTTCACTTGGCTAACTGTCACCTAGTCACCCACTCAATACAATTAGCTAGAGTCAACCGAGATCCCAGATCCCTCAACATATCCCTGTCCCACACATCTGTCCTTCACAACTACATCTTGTAAACACAAAAATCCAGATCCAGCTGCTGAGTATGGGAATATTTTATGCAAATAACAGGAAATCCCATGCATGCCAAGTTCTGTTTAAAAGAAATTACAGGAATTTGAATCAGATACTAAATGATTCCAGTGTTTCAGCATCAAATATAATTTTGTCCATAAATCAAAATGCACAAGTAGAAGGTATAACCATTTTAATTACAATATGTTATTCTATTTTATAGAAAGGTTTAAAAAATACAAGATCTAAATAATTCCTTATTTAAATAATTATTGCTGTACATATGCCTGTGTTAACATATACTCTTCTTTCATAATATTTAATTATGATAAAAAATAGGTGCTACATCAGGTCAGACACTACATCAGGTTTGAACACTTTATCCTACATGAAATCCTGAATAATATTTATATGTGAGTTAATTAAAAAATGTATCTCTAAATTAACAATTTGGAAGTTAATTTCAAAACCTTTCAAAACTCACATTTAACATTTAGTTAGCCAAAAATTATTTCAACCCCTGGACTCATTACAAAATATAACCTACAGAATAAACAAACAAAACAACTGCTGGAAAAATATAGGTTTCCTTTTGCCTGTTATATCAGGACCAGACACCTGTGTATGTGCATTTCATTAATTTAATGAGAAAATATTTAAGAATGTGCATTTAACTCCTCTCATTGAAATTACAATTGCTCTTGAATTAAGATTTGTTCATGGTTACTGTTCCCTGACATGCCTAATGTATTTTTAAAAAAGGTACAAAAGTTTGTTTCAAAAGCAGCACAGAAGAACTGAGTACAGTTACAAATATGTTACAAAAATCATAGACAGAAGCAGACAATATTCTTTCAGGCCTCAGAGAGAACAATTTCTTCCAATCCAATACAACTAGATGGGTGGCTGGTTAAAGATTGGACATAACAATTCAAAAACCCCACCTCTTTCCTCAGCACACTCGTTACTTCATAACTCTGCAATGATAAAGCACAGTCATTGAAACAAATAATCTTGTACATTTTGTCCTAGCCAAAATACCGCTGAACACTCTTCAGTAAAGAAAGTTCTTAAGGGCTTTTTGCTTTTTTACTGCTCCAAACCCATGTAATCCTAACAGTTATGAGAAATAATTTTATTAAAGAAATTCAAATAAAAATATCTCTGAACCACCTAACTGAAAGCCAAATTTTCTACAAAGGTATTCCAGGAATTTCAATTGAACACAAGACCAAGAGATCACCCACTTAATAATTATATTTTTATTCATATGCCAATATAGTCAAAATATTACAAATGGGACATGTTAACTCCAGAATCTGCATCTTTATGAACCCTAGCTGAAAATGGTGGAGGCTGAGGACTAATACATCTAGAAGGCCCCAAATTGGGGTGGGAGTGTCATAAAAACTAGAATTATGAAGCTGCCATTTTAAATGCACATACCCCATCATCCATGGTTGCTGATTCTAGAAGTGAAGAAATAGACTTCTGTAATAGCTGTTGTAACAGGGAAAGAATAAAGTATTAAAATTATGAAAATAATAATGTACTTCATTGGTATCCCCAACATCTAAATATTTTATTACCTGCTAGCTGTTATCTAATTTCACAGAAAAAAAATTCTTGGTCAAGACCTTACACATAGTAATCTGTACTTAATTCTACCACAGATTATCTAGAATATTTGTTTGCCTATTTGCCTGCTTGCTTTACACCTTGTCTCTATACTCTGGGAAACATAATTGTGGTATCAAACAGAGATAGGTGGGAGTATAAAAATAGATATCTTTCTTCACCTAGAGCTGATAATAAAATACTCAATTAGAACAATATTGTTCTAGTAATACCTTGATTTTTACTGTGGATTTTGATTGAGACTGGCAATTCAAAAAGATTTCCAGATGCATCTTGAAAACTGGTGAAGTTACAACTTCACAACAATGGCTGCAGTAGAGTAACCCTCTGAAATACATGAGAAAAAGACCATTTATATATATATATATATATATATATATATATATATATATATATATATCCCCAAATTTCCATGTCCAAGTGTGCTCATAGACTTCTTCACTTTGCACTGTAAGCTAGAACATATATTGTTCAAATATTCCCAGCTCAATGTGCAAAAATCCTGTAAGAGATGAGATAAAAGATAATGAAGAAAACACGAGATTATCAACTTTATGTTCCAGTGCCAATACTAGGAAAAACATATGTGAAGATTTTAACCTTTGACAATTTATCAGTTGTTTTGACCAAATGACAATCATTTTAACCATTTCTGAAAACTATTCAAAAGATTACAGGGATATTTTTTAAAAAAACCTGGCTTGGAAAGGAGCATATAATGTACATCTGGCAGAATTAAAAGATGTGAAAACAGTAAAACACACAATACTACCAATTCTGCTCTGCTAATCCCCTGCTTCATACTTATTAACAATCAACTATAGTTGATTAGAAAGTTTGCGCTAGCTTATTTTTAAAAGATTATCCTATTCTTTAGCAAAAAAATAATAATCCAGTACAGTTTCTATACGATCACTACAATAAACCATGCATCACTATGCACAAGCCTACAGTATGAACGGTGTCCATAGTTATCCTGGCATTAAAATTTAAGTGGAATTTTAAAAGTAAGTGAAAGTGAAAATCTCATAATTATTACAAGACCTCAATGAAAGTGCCAATATCTTGCAAGACTCTTCTTTCTTTAGGAGCTAATGTACCTTTCATTGAAAAAAAAAATTGTTAATTTCTGAATTAAGAGACAAAAAGGAAAAGGAAAAAAGGATTAGGAAAAAAAAAAACCAAACTGAGACATCATATTCTTACAAGATATACAGTAACTTTTAATGTAACTCAGGAGATCAAAACTAAGGAAAGAACAGCATTGCTTTCATTATCATGAAGGCTATAGTAGCAAAGATGCTACTTGGATATAATACAATCAATTTCATAATAATACCTATTAGACTTTGTGAAAAGTTTTTAAATATGATGGTTACCCACGTTATATTCCAAGCACTCATGCAGAAGAAGAAGTTGGTATGATTTATGATCAAGTTCAATTTGAACTTAACAGAATATTTAAGCAAGTTGTTTGTGGTTGGAGATTGCCATGCCAACATTGGAAATATTAAAGAGGGATACATAATTGAATTTTATGGCCTAAGAAATAAAAACAGAGAATAATTTAACAATTTCAGATAGTCCAGTGATTTCTATGATAACTATCTGTAATGGACATAACTTAGACAAAATACAGAGAAATCAAATTGACTGTATTATTGGTACAAGGTGATGGAATTCCTTAGTTATAACAACAAAGATATAGCCAGGAGCTAACTGTGAAAAAGAACATGATGTGCTCATAATTGTATGCAAAATCCAATTCAAGCTAACTGCAGAAGAAGAAAGTTTCTTGAACATATATCCAGGATTTTCAAGGAAAACATCAGGGATCATTTTTAAATCCTGAATCTCATTGATAAGGAAGTATAGAAATGTGGAACAAAATAAAAGTTGCTAAGAAAAAAGATGGCAAAGAACAGGAAACAGAAAAAAATAAACTGGATGTCATAGTAGACAGTAGAATTTGTCAACAAGAAAAGATGCTAAAGCCAAGAAGGCCAAATAGGAAATAATTTAAAATGAACTTCTGAAAGCTGTTGAGAGAGACAAGAAGTAGTACTACAACCTTATAAAGATACTGAAAATGGAAAGAAACATGGAAAACAAGAGAAGTCTTCTAAAAAAATCTTCAAATCCAGATGGAAGTTCCAAACTTGCTAAAAATACAAATGGACAGTAGTAATTGATTCAAAGAACATTGAGCAAAGATGGAAAGAGTATACTGTAATTCAGTAGAGATGTCAATATCCAAGATAGTAGAGATGTTAATATATCAAAGTAGGATATATTTCCTACTTATAAAAACCTCTAGTATTAGAATATGAAGTTATATCAACACTCCAATCATTATCAATTTGGAAGACTTCAGGATTTGATAAAGTATCTACATAAACTTGGCAAGCAATCAAAAAAGTCTGTAAATTTTTAAGCGTTATCTAATATTGATTAGAGCTTTATGTGGGAAGGCTGAGGGACAAAGAGACATTAGTTCTGATTCATGCTGGATAATTGAAAAAGCCAAACAATACTAAAAAGAAGTCAATACATGGTTTATGTATTATAGAAATATTTCACTTATGTCAAACTTGTCAAACTGTGGGATGTGCTTAGGAAAATAGGAACCCCAGAATATCTTACAGTCCTCATAAGAAACCTTTACAAGATCATGAAGCCACAGTATGGATGGAACATGTTGAAACAGAAAAAAATGACAATAAATACATCAACCAGTCTTAGAATTAGACACTCTGATGCCATGATATGGCTGTATCTAGTTTTTCTTGTGACAGTGTAAATAAAAGTTGTACAGTCAAGAAGCAGGACAAAAGAATATTGATACTTTGAATGCTAGTGTTGGAGAAGAGTCCTGGCAATATCACAGATAATCGAAAAACACACACAAATGGATCATAAAACAAATCAATGGCACAAATGACCCAGCTCAAATTATTATATTTGGGTACACAATGCAAACATAATACTGGGAACGTAGAAGAGAAAAATGTATGACCAGCAACAAGGTGGATGGACTCAATTACAGCAGTAGTGGGTGCTGTGCTGGAAAATCAGAAGGACCAGGTTGAGAGAAGGCTTTGTGGAAAAAAACCTGTGAGGTTACTAAGTCAGCCCTGACTTAATTGTACATAATCATAATTACATAGTAATTCTAGTATTGACCAATTGAAATGGAACAGTTGAAAGGCAAAAGGATTCTAGTGCAGCTGGTCTCTTAAAATCTACCCCCATCGCTTTCACTGTGATGCCAAGAATAGACTGCAACCAAAAAAATTAGGAGACATCTTGTTCCCAGTAAGATTGAATCTGAATTCTCTATTCTGTGACTGTCAAGAACCATTCACAAAACCTATTCACTAAATCGCTTTAATTTTTAAAAAGGCACTCTTCATGATTTTATAACCCTTCCAGTTGGGAGCTCATCACCAGGCCAGAAACAGTTTTGTAAGGAAGCTAATGAATTTGGAGAGCTGATCAATTATTTGTAAGGAAGGGTCTTTGTTAATGGAGTGAGACTGATTCCCCCACCCCCTTGCTGCTGGGTATGTGTTTACTTGCACTCTGAGCACATAGTCTGAGAGGAAGGGGTTTCAACTGGGTCACTAAACAAGAGATTCGCTATTGGCTTTGTAGTATTCCTTAGCCAATAGGAAGTCCCAGCCAGGAGTCTTTCCGAAGAGGAGAAATGCTTGGAGCTCAGAAGCAGAACAAGTTAATTGGAATGGGATAATTTTATGACAAAATTAAAAGGGGGATGAAGCACATAACTGACCTCCCACTTTCAAAGCTAAGTAGCAAGATTAACATGAGGAAAACGTGTACAGACTCTATAAAAGTGTAACATAGGATAAAACAGCCGTTAAAAGAAAAAGAATCCAAGTTATTAACAGTAAGTAGGATGAAGATAGAAAGCCAAGGCAGAAGTTATTTTCCAGTTTGCTCCACGGAGAGTTAAATGTACCAGCTAGCTAAGCACAAGTCATGATTCATTCCTGCATTCCTGGCTTTCATGAAGCTAATCTGTTTTCTTGAAACCACTGCAGATATTAGACAGCCATGAAAGTATGTGGATGAAACTTCCTGGGATATGACAGCTTTGTCCTACTCCCAGAATGACAGCTCCCTTATGGTCAGGGAGAACAAGAGTTAAGGATGGCAATGAACCCAATTATTATCTATGATAATAAGAAGATGACTTTTGATTGTGGGCAAAATTAGTTTGATTTGTCATGCACATGTGGATAATATTGGAGTAAAAGTAGTAGCCATAGACTACATTAGCATTAACAACATAAAAAAAACTAAGTGAACCTGGAACTCTTTTAAGCTGCTAGATAGATTACTAAAGTCCAGGATTGCCAAGATAATATTGTGAGAAATACTATTTCTTCCATACAGAAAATCAACTACAAAAAGAAGAGCACAGTGGTCTCCACATTTGGTCAAGCTTGTGCAAGAGATTTAGATTTACTGGTTGTCAGGCAACTATTTGGAACAAGCTAAATCTGTATGAGAGAGGAGTTGTTACATGACATCAAAAAAGATGGCACAGCAGCTTTTAAATTTATCTCTGAGGAAAAGCCTAGCATCAAATTCAGAATAGGGCAGATGCCAATATCTGGAAGAAAAACAGGTACCTGACAGGTTCTTTTACTTTTCTGGGGAGAAATCAGAATAACATAAATAAATTAAGGTAACACATGAAGATGTTCTAGGAGAAAAGTATTTGAAGAAGTCAGAATAATATGTAAAAACATAGGTTAGACATCAAAATTAGGTTTACATATATTAAACACTTTTAGGGTGCTAACCCTAAATTTAAAAAGAATATTTACTGTACTATTTACTCTTAGCTGCTAAATCAAAAATTAATAAATAATTTATCATTGGACAATTGATGCACTATGCTATAGTCAATTACTCTTCTTAAAAAAGTCACTGACAAAATTTGAATACTAAATTCACATACAGGTGAAACTCAAAAAATTAGAATATCGTGCAAAAGTTCATTTATTTCAGTAATGCAACTTAAAAGGTGAATCTAATATATGAGATAGACTCATTACATGTATATGTACTCAGTACTTGCTTTGGGCCCCTTTCGCAGCAATTACAGCCTTAATGTGGCATGGCATGGAAGCTATCAGCCTGTGGAACTACTGAGGTGTTATGGAAGACCAGGATGCTTCAGTAGCGGCCTTCAGCTCTTCTGCATTGTTCGGTCTCATGTCTCTCATCCTTCTCTTGGCAATGCCCCGTAGATTCTGTATGGGGTTCAGGTCAGGTGAGTTTGCTGGCCAATCAAGCGCAGTAATCCCATGGTCATTGAAACCAGGTTTTGGTGCTTTTGGCAGTGTGGGCAGGTGCCAAGTCCTGCTGGAAAATGAAGGCAGCATCCCCATAAAGCTTGTCTGCGGAAGGAAGCATGAAGTGCTCCAAAATCTCCTGGTAGACGGCTGCATTGACCCTGGACTCAATGAAGCACAGTGGACCAACACCAACAGATGACATGGCTCCCCAAATCAACACAGACTGTGGAAACTTCACACTGGACTTCAACATCTTGCAGTGTGTGCCTCTCCATTCTTCCTCCAGACTCCGGCTCCTTGGTTTCCAAATGAGATGCAAAAGTTGCTCTCATCAGAAAAGAGGACTTTGGATCACTGAGCAACAGACCAGTTGTTTTTCTTTAGCCCAGGTAAGACGCTTCTGATGTTGTTTGTTGTTTAGGAGCAGCTTGACAAGAGGAATACAACATTTGAAGCCCATGTCCAGGATCCGTCTGTGTGTGGTGGCTCTTGATGCACTGACTCCAGCTTCCATCCACTCCTTGTGAAAGTCCCCAACACATTTGAATGGCCTTTTCCTGACAATCCTCTCCAGGCTGCGGTCATCCCTGCTGCTTGTGCACCTTTTCCTTCCACACTTTTCCCTTCCACATAACTTTCTATTAATGTGCTTTGATACAGCACTTTGGGAACATCCAACTTCTTTTGCAATTACCTTTTGAGGCTTTCCCTCCTTATGGAGGGTGTCACTGATGGTTTTCTGCACAACTGTCATTCAGCGGTCTTTCCCATGATTGTGCTTCCTACTGAACCAGACTGAGAGACCATTTAAAGGCCCAGGAACCCTTTGTAGGCATTATGGCTTAATTTTCTGATTAGAGTGGGACACTTTGAGCCTAAAATGTTGAACCTTTTCACAATATTCTAATTTTCTGAGATTGTGGATTTGGGGTTTTCATGAGCTATAACTCATAATCATCTCAATTATGCCACATCACGGCTTGAACTATCTTGCTTTGCATGTAATGAGTCTATCTCATATATTAGGTTCACCTTTTAAGTTGCATTACTGAAATAAATGAACTTTTGCACGATATTCTAATTTTTTGAGTTTCACCTGTATGAATTGTATTTTTATTGGACCTATAATTACAATGTTATTTTAATAATAACTCTAGTTATGACAATATAGAGACGCTCTTACTGTTCTTGGATGCTATCTTGTACTCTTGTTTCAATGCTGATTTGTAGAATAAGATTTAATTATAAGAAGCATTCTAGGGTATCTTCACATGCAGGTCATGATGGCATCCCCTAAGAATCATTAAACAATTCCAATTTGACATTTCTTCACATTTGCAAAGAAAAAAATCCTTCAAATTGGGCTAGGCTCCGGAAGAATCAACAACAGTGCAACTGTTGTGCAATCAACTTTACTTTTTTAAAAAGAGAGCTGACAAGATGAGGATATTATAGGCTAGTCAGCTTAACATCAGTTCTTATCAAACTGGTGAGTGATAAGTACAATTGCTCTCATTCCACATTAAGAGCATTGAAGAACAAGCTTTGCTGAAAGAAAATAAGTATGTTTTGCAGTTTTTCCAATCTTCTAGAGGTTTTTCAGTGTCAACAGGCATGATAGAGATGACCTGTTGACATTGTCAGTCTGTTTGAAACTGTAAAGAATACAAGGCTCCTCATCAAAGGATCTTGAGGAAATATAATGGGATGAGGGACCATTTTTATGAATTGCTAAATGCTAAAACAAAACAGAAAACTAATAGCTCAAATAAAGGCATGACTTTCTCAATGGAAGAAGTAAGAATTGGCATCCCTCAAGAACTGATAATTAGGCTTTTTCCAACTTGTTGATAAACGATGTTGACTTAGGGATAAGTAAGCAATGATCTGATTAAGTTTGTGGATGATACCAAACTGTTCAAAATAGCAATAGCAATAGCACTTAGACTTATATACCACTTTATAGTGCTTTACAGCCCTCTCAAAGTGGTTTACAGAGTCAGCATATTGCCCCCAACAATTTAGGTCCTCATTTTACCCACCTCGGAAGGATGGAAGGCTGAGTCAACCTTGAGCCTGGTGGGATTCAATCTGCCAAATTGCAGTAGGAGTAGCTTGTAGTACTGAACTCTAACCACTGTGCTACCAAAGCTCCTAAAATGACTGTGAAGTGCTCAAGGATGATTTTCATTCTTTTTATTTTTAAGATTTTTATGCCACTTTTATTACGTTATAAGTAAGTTAATGTGGGGAACATACATAATACTCCTTCCTCCTCCTATTTTCCCAAAATAACTGCCCTGTAAAGGGAGATTGGGCTGAGACATTCACCCAGCCAACTTTCATACCTGAGGCAAAACTAGCACTCCCGGTCTCCTGTTTTCTTAGGACAGCACCCTAATTGCTACATCAAACTGGTTCTCTTTATTTTTAAAATTAAATTTCTTTAAACTGGAAAAATTACCAAACAAATAGCAACTGCAATTCAATTTAAATGAGTGTAAACATATACATACTGAAACACAGACACCCTCTCCATTTTATACAAATACTAATGGGATCTGAGTTGCCTATATAACCAACTAGGAAAAAGATATTGGGTCACATGTAATTTAATGAAGGTATCAGCTCAGTGTATGGCAGCTGGGAAAAAGACAAATTCCATGCTAGGTTCAGTAAGAAAGACAGGAAATACAACTGCCCACATAACATCCATATCATAAATCTATAGTGCATCTCAAATACTGCGCACAGTTCTGGTTGCCATATATGGAAAAAGATAGAACTGGAAAAGATTTGGAAGAGGACAGGCCAAATGAACAGAAGGCTCCAACACTTTTCGTATCAGAAAAAAACTAGAAAAATTTGGATTCTTTAAATTAGAAAAAAGACAATTGAAAGGGACATGGTTGAGTATGCATGGCATGAAGTTGTCCTTCTTCTCAAATCACTAATATAAGACAAGCTGATGACAACTACCTTTCAAGGTTTAAGGAGTTGGAGCAATTCCTGGATGATAGGTCCTTCCAGGCTATAAATCTTGAACCTGAATCTTTGCCAATTTACATGATTTCCAAAGTTTTGTTCTTTATGAGAATCACAGTTCTTCCCTTCCTTTATTGATATGTTATGCTACTACTGGTATAAAGTCAAAGGAAATTAAAATAAAGAAATTAGAGATTGTTTGATATATGAAATGTGTCATTTAAATTATTTTGTTAATAATAATTTTCCACCTCTGGATGAAATTAGACAATGTTGCTATAAAATCTGAACCAAAAATAGATCGACGCACAGGATACAAATTGCCCAAAATAACATTGAAGACTTTTTATTCCAAAACTATTCTATTTCTTTGGTGATGAACCTCAATGTCAACTAAAGTAAGACTTTGCATGCAAATACCTACTGCAGAGGTGTCAACCTTGTAGGCTGGATGTGTCATGCACTGGCCACCCCCACCCCCACCCTCATTTTAGCAAAGGGGGAAAAAGTTGCAATACATCACATGACAACAGCATGACGCCACAAGTTTGACACCCCAACCTACTGGATCATCAATATGCCAGTTAATCCAACATGTTCTTACTTGTCTTGTTGATGCTGATCTATTTTTTCATTGCCACATCTGTTACATATAGGCCAAGAGAAAGCAGTTCTCTCATTAATGCCAACTATAGTACCTGAAAAAAAGGTAAAATAATTTGCAAAATTTAGTATATCTTGACTTTGAATGCCTTTAAAATAATGTCTGTTTGGAAATACCCTTTCTTCTGCTTTTTATATGTATAATTAGCAATATTTAGATTTCCACTGATTTCAGAATTAATTGCAATCCAATCCTAGTTGCTCCCCTAAGTATTAAAAAAGCTGTAACATATGTTTTATTATTTTTCTAATTTCTCTCTTTCTATATCAAAGAGGAAATTTTTCAAACACGTTTGAGTGATAGTATAGCCAATTTAATAAGATAAGAAATTAATATTTTTTTGCTAGTGAATTCTGCCTCCCTTAGTTTCTGTCTTCATAGTAAAAGTCAACAAACCAGACCTCCTTTGAACCAGAAAATTCTGATTAACAATACCAGGGCATGAAGTCAAATGTAAATAATGATTAAATATTCTGGCTTGTCTAAAACAGGGCTGTCAAATTCCCAGCCCACGGGCCGGATGCGCAACACACTGACCATGCCCACGCCAGATTTAGCGAAGGGGGAAAATGTCCTGATATGTCACATGATGTCGCCGTGATGACATTAGTTTGACACCTTTGGTCTAGAGCTATTAAACAGTTTTCTGGTATGGATGAAAAAGGGAATTATAATTAATGGACATTTCCTAAATTTATTCCATAAATTGATAAGCTGTGATGGTGAAGTAGTTAGAATACAGAATTGCTCCCAACTCCCATCAATTTGATTCTCACTGATTCAAGGTTGACTCAGCCTTCCATCCTTCCAAGGTCAGTAAAACGAGGACCCAGATTGTTGGGGATAAAATGCTGACTCTGTAAACTGCTTAGAGAGGGCTATAAAGCACTATGAAGTGGTATATAAGTCTAAGTTCTATTGCTATTTGTCTCATCCTTTAGAGAAGTCATTTGAACAAAAGGATTTTCATGTCTCATTTTATGAAGTTCTGATATACTTGCCCAAAGATAGCTATTACTTTAATCTGAAAACAAACCAAAGTGAAGAAGAAAAACAGACATGACAGAGTTTTTAAAAAGCATTTACATTGGTTTAACACCACGAATTATTCTCTATTTATATTCAGGTAACTGAGATTCAAGTATGTTCTCCCAGGGCATATACGTGACTAGAAACCTTAAAGAACTGAAGGTCAGTTAGATATTTGGATCACTAGTAAGCATTGTTGTTTAGTGTTATAAATCAAGTGAGATGGGTATTTTATGGGAAGGCTAGTAAAAAGATTTAGAACAATAGCAGTTTGCTGAGCCAAACAATAAACATTAATGTTTGCAAGCAAAACATATAAATGAGGTATCTTAAAACACCTGCAAATAAATGGATTACAACTGTCAATCCTACAGTGTCAAAACAAATTGCCCAGAAAGCCCTGAGGGGTTGAGTAACATACTTGTCTTTTGATAAATAAAATTATTACGAAAAACGGGACTGGCAATAATCCTATATACAAGTAGTCCTTGACTTACGACCACAATTGACCAAAAATTCTGTGGCTAAGTAAGACATTTGTTAAATGAATTTTGCCCCACTTTAAAATGTTTCTTACCACATTGTTAAATGAATCACTGCAGTTATTAAGTCAGTGGCACAGTTGTTAAGTGAATCTCGCTTCCCCATTGACTTTGCTTGCCAGAATTTAGCAAAAGGTGACCAAATGAACCTAGGACTCTGCAACAGTCATAAATATAAGTCTATTGACAAACATCTGGATTTTGATCATGTCACCATGGAGATGCTGCAATCTTTGTAAGAACAGTTGTAAATCAAGGACTACCTGTACTAGGCATCAGTGCAGGAATGTGTAATTTAATTAATTCAGAGTAGTAAAAAAAAGCAATATGTGTATATATTATTTTTATATACAGTTTAAGCTTTACAATGAGTTTAAAAAAACCTTCAATCACGATGAAAGACCAGATAAAGTAAGAAATTTAAGCCAAAGCAGAACATATACCCCAATTTTCTTCCCAGGTTCTCAAGGCGGTACATATAGGCATCTCCCAATTTAACTTTGCAATCATCCCATTATATAAATTATTTTTTATACATAAAATTATTTAAATATATATAAATTATATATAAATCATCCCATTATATATCCAAGCCCCAGACTCTGCAGTCCAGGATCATTTGTGAGGTCACTGTCCAATATAATGGCACTCATAAAATGCCAACTGAATAACTATTACAAAAAGTATTGTTGCCATTTTTATAATCTGCTACTGAACCAGAGGTGTCAACTATAATTTCTTCAAATGGAAATTATTAATTAAAGAAAAAAGAGATGAGGAATATAATTTGTCATACACTTTTGGAAAACAGACAAAAGAACAGTTAGTATTAAGATTTTAAATAAAAATATAGTTACAAACCTCTTACAGTACAAATAGAATTGATTTGAGTAGTAGAATCCAGATAATCTAGTTTGACAGGACCAGTCAATTCAGTGATGTCAGCACCAGCAGCCCTACACAAAAGGGGCTTTTGTAGCAAGAGAACGGTACGTTCAATGCAAATAATCTTACCTGCCAACAAAGACATTTTGATAAGTTACAGTAACAAAGAAAAAAGTGGCCATGTTAATTATCTAAGCCAATAAAGACAAATTCCTGCAAGCATTTCAGTAAGCTTGTTTTAGTCTGATTTATTCAAATGAGTACTCTATTCTTGTTTAATAGACTACCAGCATCCACTAGCCTGGTTTTATTTAGAAAGGAAATTCGCTGCACATTGAATTTTCTTTATCTTTTAATGGTGGGTTGGGAATTATTCCAGTTATTCACATGTTGTACTTTGCTCCCCAAAACAAGATAGTCAAATCTTTGCCCAGAGGAGTGTCACCTGGATGATTCAGTTCTGGAAGCAGGGTAAGAGGTTTGTGCAATTAGGCCAGAGGTTGATAGCCAACAATGACCAAATAGCTTATACTGAACATGATTAGAATTTAATTTTTTTCTTCTCAAGTGGTGTTAGCTAAAGTACTGCCATTGATGCTAGTAGTACGGTAGAAACTCTGTCCAGATACTTTCCCCTCCCTTCCATTCAATGGTGTTTGATTATTGGAGACTTCCTGAACAAGTCTCTGCGATTTTCTTGGAAAGGTTTTTCAGAAGTCCTTTGCCACTGCCTTTTTCCTAGTGCTAAGAGAAAGTGAGTAACCCAAGGTCACCCAGTTAGCTTTGTGCCAAAGGTGGGACTGAAACTTGTAGTCCCCTGGTTTTTAGCCTGATGTCTTAACCAGAAGCTCTTCATTGAAATATCTACAAATATGATTTATTATTTAAAATAAAAGTTAGGCTTGGGCCATTATATTTAGAGAAACAACTTAGATTGTAAGATGGAATACTGTTAACAACAATGACCATATTCCAAAAGTGAGATAAGCAGCTATAATATAGACAATAAAACTTATTATGGTGCATAATTCCCTACATTTCCTTCCCATTTGATACCGCTGGACTGGATATGCAACACAGCAAACTGGTTTACAGGTGCAGATTGAATTTTTACATATCAAGTATTCTCAGCAAGAACTAGGAAGTATGCTAGTATGCCATTAAATCAATAAAGATTAAGCAGTGGAAAGCATGAAAAGAAGGATTGCTTCTTCAAATTTGTTAACAGTTCCACTGGTTTCCATTCCATTGTCATTATAAAACTCTAAAATATAGCCTCTATGTTTTCTTATTATTTAGTCCCTTCTTCCTTTTGAGTCATAATCACTTTCTATTTTTTGTTGGAAGAAATGTCCTAGATGTAGGAAAGTCATCTTATTTAGAAAATAAGATGCTTTCAAAGCTTTTCCACTTGTCAAGAAAAGAATGCACATGCTAATGGGCATCTTTTAATTAACAAACACAGCAAAAATAACAGAAAATAAGATTTGGCTCTCTATTCTTAATGTACTGAAATGTCCAAATGCCAGGTATCTTTTTAATTTGGAGGCTAAAAAATGAGCCCGGAGGCTGAAGAAACTCCCTTATATTGTGCAATGTTTATCTTTGTATTAGGAGAGATCTGGAGAACTATGTGGATGGTAATGAAAACTATGAAAAAGTAACTATCGGATAATTCTGTGGAAGAGGGCAGTTTGACCATTATAAAGAAAAGGCAGATTGATTGCTTTCTCACATCTTTTTCAGTTTGCTGCCTAACCAAAAATTTCAGAGTAAGAGATGTTGAGTCTTATAATGATAAATCCTGCAGTTGATTGCTAAGTTAGTTGCTAGTTAAACATATTATCCAGCATTTAATTATGAATGAAAGTCGGACCTGGTATGTGACATGAGCACCTGGCAAGAGTGCAGAACTAGTTAAAATAGCCTGAACCAAAAGCCTTATGAAAATGGACAGTTTCCTCAATCCACTTAGGGAATTTTCTACCTCATCTGTCAACAATACCATCAACGCCCTGGTTGATCAATGGGATACAAAACTACTTATTGACAATATTCTTTATTGTCTCTGTCTCTCTCTCGCCTCTGTTGCAGAAACCATCAGCTCTTAACTTTTCTAGGCAGTTGAAAGTGATGAACTTGAGGGGACATTAGCTGGAGAACAAAGTCAGGACAAATCAAATTGAGTAGGACACATCTGAAGTACTATTTGGATTTCTGTTCTGTTGCATGCAAGAAAAGGCAGCATAGAAGATTTATTCTATGCCTTTATTGTATCTTCATAAAACAGCTACAGTCTTCATCAAGAACAAAGAAGAAAGGTACAAATAAGAAAGGACTTGCTATAAAAATGTGCATCCTCCTTTATGAACAAAATTGATCAGATTCATCTCAACTTGGGACCTCCAATGTTGGAGCATGTCACGGACAAAATCTTGGCAACTGTCTGTCCTCTTATTTTGAAAAGAAAACATTTGCACAATTAAGCTGAGGATACTATTAATAGAATAGAATAGAATTCTGTATTGGGCAAGTGTGACTGGAAACACAAGGAATTTGTCTTGGTGCAAATGCTCTCAGTGTACATAAAAGAAAAGATACATTCATCAAGAGTCAAGAATCATAAGGTACAACACTTAATAATAGTCATAGGGTACAATAAGCAACCAAATCACACTAGGAAACAGTCAATATAAATCGTAAGGATACAAGCGACAAAGTTACAGTCATATAGTCTCAAGTGGGAGGGGATGGGTGATAAGGAGTGATGAAAAGATTAATAGTAATAGTAGTGCAGACTTTATAAAAAGCTGAACAGTGTTGAGGGAATTATTTGTTTAGCAGAGTGATGGCTTTTGGGAAAAAACTGTTCTTGTGTCTAGTTGTTCTGGTGTGCAGTGCTCTATAGCAGTGATGGCTAACCTTGTCATCGCGTGCTGAAAATGTGCGTGCACGCACACGTGTCTGCACCCATAATGGGGGGGCGGGAAGAGCTCCCCCTGCGCTCCTCCTGCCCCCTTGCACATGCGCACATGACCCCCACACGACTCCCGTCCCCTGCGCATGCACGAGCATCTTTCGCATGTCCCCTGCCCCCTGCACATGTGCGGCAGATACCCGAAAATCAGCTGGCTGGAGGGAGGCGTGTGCGCATGTACAGTGGAATTGAGCTCAGGTGATGGCTCATGTGCTGGCAGAGATGGCTCTGCATGCCACTTCTGGCACACGTGCCATAGGTTTGCCATCACGGCTCTATAGTGTCGTTTTGAGGGTAGGAGTTGAAATAGTTTATGTCCAGGATGTGAGGGGTATGTAAATATTTTCACAGCCCTCTTTTTGACTCGTGCAATATACAGGTCCTCGATGGAAGGCAGGTTGGTAGTAATTGTTTTTTCTGTGGTCCTAATTACTCTCTGAAGTCTGTGTCTGTCTTGTTGGGTTGCAGAACTGAACCAGACAGTTATAGAGGTGCAGATGACAGACTCAATTATTCCTCCATAGAACTGTATCAGCAGCTCCTTGGGCAGCCTTCAGTCAAGGACCTGTATACAGCACAAGTCAAAAAGAGGGCTGTGAAAATATTTACAGACTCCTCACATCCTGGACATAAACTGTTTCAACTCCTACCCTCAAAACGACACTATACAGCGCTGCACACCAGAACAACTAGACACAAGGACAGTTTTTCCCGGAACACCATCACTCTGATAAACAAATAATTCCCTCAACACTGTCCAACTATTTACAAAGTCTGCACTACTGTTACTATTAACCTTCTCATCACTCCGTATCACCCATTCCCTCCCACTTGTGACTGTATGACTGTAACTTTGTCGCTTGTATCCTTATGATTTATAGACTGTTTCCTAGTATGATTTGATTGCTTACTGTACTCTATGACTATTATTAAGTGTTGTACCTTATGATTCTTGACTCTTGATGAATGTATCTTTTATGTACAATGAGAGCATGTGCATCTAGACAAATTCCTTGTGTTTCCAATCACACTTGCCCAATACAGAATTCTATCTATTCTATTTACATCGTAGCCGAACTTTTACAACAGATGCTTCATAGAATTATCTTTAATATGAATTTGAAAATTGCTACTGGTTTAAAATGGAGAAGGTAAGCAAGGATCATATCATGCTTGCACTGAATGCACTTGCTGACAATTATTGACTGGACACAATATATTGAAAATACATGTAATAATGTAACGTAATATCTTAACGCATAAGTGAATATCATTTTTGATAAAACTGTCCAATTATTAATATATGTCAGAGGGCCATCTTTCAAATATCTGAATGGGGGTATTCTCTTTTGTTGTTTCCAGGCCAAATAACACACTTCCTCAAGAACTGCATTTAACTTCCAATTTTTCAGCATTTAGAAGATATATAGATGCATTTATTTTACAATAAATAAGTTTTGTACTTTCAAATCAGTCTTGACTCCTGGTGATGTTTTGGTCTAAACCTGTTTGAAAACATTAAGTGAAGTAGAGTCCACCTACTTAACTCCCTCATCAAACATTTTTTTTTGGATGTTACGATTTTTGCCATCATTCAGTTTGAATCTGCCTTCCTGTGACTCTGAATTCAAGTCAAAATCATCTTGTCTGATATTCTTTCAAGTACTTGAAGTATACTATTTTAGTTTCTCTTCTCTTTTCGAAGGTTAACATTCCCAGTCTCTTCACTGTCTTCCAAAAACTTAGTTTCTACTTCTTTGATCATCTTCACTACCCATCTTTCTACCTATTTCAGTTTCTCTGAATGCCTTTTTTAAGTGTGATGCCCACAACTGGTATACTATTTGACACAAAATAAAATAAAGTAAAAATGTTATTGTGGATATTCATGTGATCTCTGAGATGGTTGTATGTTAGGCAGGGGTGGGTTTCTACCGGTTCTGTCCACCTCTGTAGAACCGGTAGCTCTGAAGAGCAGCAGACATAGAACCGGTTCTATGTCTGCTGATGTTTTTGCCCACTGCCTGCCTGGGATCTTACCTGATCTTTATTTCCTGATTTTTCAACTTCAGCTGCTGAACGAGGCACAGCTGCAGTTAAAAAAAACAAGAAAAGAGGGCTGTTTCAAAGGCTGCTTCTCAGCAGCAGCATGGTAATGATGATTACCAGGCCTGCGGCTCAAAGCTGGCAGGGAAGCTCGTAAATCCCGAACCGGTAGTTAACCCTGTCATATCCCACCCCTGATGTTAGGATATTTTATCAAATGCTTTACTGAAGCCAAGATATATTATGTCCATATTAATCCACTATCTATTAAGTGGGATTAATATGGAAATAATGAAAAATTATTTTTTTTAAATAATGCTGTTACTTGGTAATTACTACATTCATTTCAAGGTGCTTACAAGTCTACTTGTTTATGATCTACTCTATGAACTCAGATTGACTGGTCTGTAGTTTTCTGGGTGCTCTTCCACTTGTCCTTTTGAACATAAAGACATTCTGTTCTGCATAATTTCCTGCTAGGGGATAAACTTTTTATTTACAAAATTGATCCGAACAAGAGTTCACAGGCTCTTTTTTGTTACTTGTTATATGAATTTTATTGTAGTAAATGAGGAATGTGTAAAGTAATTCATTTTTTGTTTTTATTTTGAAGATATATAAACAAGGCTGCTTCATTTTTGTTTGTTTTTTACTGTTCTTAGCATCCTTTATTAATCTCAGGGCATTCCAACTTTTAGTATTTGAGATTCTATCTCAGTATCATGTTTTGTTTTCCTTAAAATAAAATAAAAATGCCAGCTGACTTTCCCCCAGTGTTCTCATGTTTCAATTTCATCAACAAAGCATTCTGTATTTGTTGATATCTGGTCAAAAATGCCTTATCTTCTTGCACTATATCCTTTGAAGGAGAAAGTTAGGCTATATCAAACTCAGAAAGTTGTCAGTTAAGATGAGCCAGGAATTTCCTGCAAGTGCCATGCTTGGCAGAATTTGTCTCCCAACAGATATCAGGGTAATTAAATTTCCTATCACTGTTACTCCATGTTCTTTGAAAGTCTGTGATTTGCTTTTGGAAAACATTATCCACATCTTCTTGGTGGAGAGATGAAAATGAACACTAAATTGGTATGGATTTTATTCATTTATCCTGTTTTAACAATTCAATGAATATGTTTTTCAAGAACATTAAATATGAGATCTTAAGAAATCAACAATATATTATTTTTTATGCTTACTGGATACCCAGAGAATGTTTAAGAATGACTGGTTATTACAAGTATAAAAGGAATACAGGGAAATATTATGTTCTCATATTACATTTGATATCCAATTCAGACTGCCTCATTATTTGGGTTTAACAGCTCTCAGTTTGCTAGATCTATCTCTAATCAATGAATTATTCTTAGAAGTTGGAAAAAAGATGTGAGACAGACAGACATACAGACACATATATATATATGGATTTCAGATTTCTATTTGCTTTCAGTTTGTGCACAGACTCTTTTCTATATAATGGAAAGACTGATAAATATTATTTTAGGTCCTCAAGATTTAATGATATGTTTAAAAGTTAGTCTGTATATTTATATGCACTATAACACATTTGTATTCATTTTTTAAAATTTCTGTTAGTTTGTATTTATTTCTATTTTGTTCTGAAATTGTACTAAACCTTACCATTTCCACACATAGCATCCTTGAAGAAAACAATACAAGGGGATGAGCTTTTGAATGCTTCCATTACTTCCACATCAATCACACATGATGAAGCAACTGAGACAGATAGTGTTCTGGGAGTTCCAGAATTGATCTCAGACTCTCTTTGCAATGAGAAATCAGTGACAAATAGCCAAAATTGCCTTTGGTCTGAAGAATCACTGCCCATTTCCTAGGGTTGAAAGGGGAAAAAAAAATTAAATGTTAAAGTTTAAGAAAATATTTTTGAACCAGCATAAAGTTAAAGACAATGAAGCATATGAAAACTTCAATTTATCTAGCAGAATTTTAATCAGAGTACAATCAATGGATCATACAATACATGCAGGTACTCTTACCCACTGAACAGAAGTTCAGAGAAAAAGATTGCCTCGTTTTGTGGCACAATTTTGTTCTATTTAGAGTGATTTTAAGATAATGGCTGCACATCGTCTCTTCTTCCCATATCTCACCCTTAATCATCACCACCAAAGCTCAAAATATTGGCTAAAAATTTATATGGTTTTAGGTGACATATAGAATCACTAGATCTTTTGTAAATCTTCAGAAGATCAGGACATGATTATGGTTGTACTCCAGCTATAAGCAGAAAAACATCCAGGTCCTGTATATGTGCTGGACAAAATCAATGATCATCATTGCTGCCTACCGATTGCAATAAACCAACTATGTGATATGACTAGATTTGACACCTAGAAAATATAAGGGTGGGTGCTGTACCATATTTCAAGTTGTTATACAGGTAATTTTCATTTAACAACCACAACTGGAACCATTCTTGTCACTAAAGCATGTGGTCATTAAGTGAAATATCAAGTGACTGCAAAGGGCTTGCAACCTCACTTCTACCATAATAATTAAGAGAATCTCTCAGTCACTAGCAAGACATCACATGATTGCAGGTTTTTAAGAAGACATTTGAGAATAATTTGTCTGAAATATTGCAGGTTTCCTGTTTGAGCAAATGGTTAGACTAGAAGACCTCCAAGGTCCCTTCCAACTCTGTTTTTATGTTAACTACAATTTTACTGCCAGGCTTTCAGTGGGCTCTGTTTGTTGAAAGTCAGGTATAAAGTGTGAAAATGACAATGACCACGAAACATTATGATCATTGTAAAAATCTGCTGGTTGTAAAACACCTGAATTTTGATCATGTGTGACTCAAGGGATAGTGCAACAGTCATAATAAATGCAAGGACTGGTCATAATGTTACTGTTTAAGTGCTGTCATATTTTGAATAGTTGCTAAAGAGGGCAGTTGTTAAGTGATGTCTACCTGTACCAATTCAACACAGCAAACCACTGCAAATTATTTTATTGGTCAAAGTGAAAGTCAGTATAGTGCAGGTATGATTTGCAGCTCTGTGATTCCCCTTCTGCAATTTCCAGAATCAACTGTACTACATGATTGAAAGTAAGTAAAATTTTGAAGTGAAAAATACCAATAAAATCTGTAAATTCTAAATTTCACTTCTTTTGTTAGTTTGATATCTTGTTTTTCCTCCAATACGATGCAGCATACATGGTACTCTTTTTCCCCATTTTATTTGAATAACAATTCTGTAAGGTAGGTTGGGTTGAATGATGGTAAAGTCATCCCATCAAATTCCATGGCTGAAGATAGACTTGAAGATAGATTTGAATATCAATCTCAGACTTTCAATTCCCTTAGAAAATTCTGAGCTTACCCAATTTACCTCATCTTTCTACTCACAGAAGTTTCTAGCCACTAAAAAGCATTAAGTCCTGCATCCAACTATGAATAGCTCATTCTTAATTAAGGTTTAAATATAAATGTTTTCCTTGTATGCATTGGTTTTCAAATAAGTCACTTTGCAAATTTCATAATTATTGAGCAATTCAAGCTTGCTATATGATTAGTCTTTGACTAATATTATTTTGAAATTTTAAACAATTATGTTTTTTTTCTTTTAATAAAAAATACCAGAAGCATTATTACTACACTGTGTAATGTGCTCCATTTTCCTAGTAGAAACTCTATAGGTATAAACATGGAAGTTTTCTTCCTGGATAAATTTCAACATTTTTCAAGGATGAATACAAACTAAATGATTCATAAAAGGTAACAGGAGAAACAAAAACATCTATTCTAACAACATAAATATCCTATTTGGGACAGGAAGATAAATATATTCAGTAGAAGATAAAGGTCATCAAAACAAATGATCTCATAACGAAATTGTTTACCTTTTGTAGCTCTTTCTACTATACTCAAAGGGTTTCAGCTTTGTATTAATCAACTTACTATTAAGTAGTGAATAAAAACACTGCAAAATAGTAATTCTTGAAGATATTGCAGAATTACTTTAGATTAAAATTTTACTCAACTTTATCATTTGACATTTTTATCATTCATATCAAATGCTTAGGCACATTTTCCTGAAAGTAGGCCCTCTCAGAAGTCAAAGAAATATGTTTAGATTGTACTATTAAAAGTGTGTGGTGTAACAACAGGTGTTATAAAATATCTATAAAATTAGAATGCTTAAACTGAAATAGTGATGCTGTAGCTGAATTTGAAACAACAAGTGAGCAGGATCACAATCTCCCTTTTCTTCTCAGTACTTCTGCCATAATTCACCCATTTCCACAGAACCAAATGGCCTTTTCCAGGAACTGAGTCTGTATTCGGAGTCCTATTGGCATGAACCCAACTCTAAAGATATTTCCACTTATCGTAACATCATCATCTGTAGACATAACAATTCAATTAGTCTTTAAAATGTCACAGTAACACTTTTTTCTATTAACAGCTTTCTATAGCTACCATATCTCTTCAGAATCAAGAATATTAGAGCTTTAATCTGATATTTGCATTTTATTTTTCAAATAATTGTATTTTTATTTATTTTATTTATTTTAATTTTATTTATGGCCTTTTTTGAGTGACTTAAAAAGGGTTAATAAACTGCAATGTATAATTTCTTCAATCTTGTTTTGCTCTGCTGTTCTCATTTCAATTATTAATTGAAAATTGAATTTTAATTACACTTTTTGAAGACATAAAGCAGAAACACTGAACACTGAATTACTAACCTTTAGATTCTGACCAACAAGACTGTCAGCCAGAAAGCAAATAACAATAAGTCATTTTAAAACCATCATCTTCCTGTATGTGTCAATTTGTTCTGAACAAAAAGGACAGAACAGACTAACAGCAGCAGGATTGAGTTATGTGACAGTACAGTTCTCCAAGCCCAGATGGAATATATTTCCACATTTTCCTTTCGTACCATAATACTTATTCTGAATAGTAATAATAAAAAGACAATATTTCCATTTCCCAATTCACAGAAATTTTCTGGAGAAAAATTCCCCCAGTTCTCTGGAAGAGTTCTGATTTAAAAAGAAGACAAAAGGAGATTTGACTCTAAAACACAAAATGTAATCAGAAAAGATTATTTTTCCTGGAATGAATTAGTCTGCAATTTTTTTTTAAACTGAACCAAGGTCTTCCCTCAAATTTTATGATATAGTAGACTCTTATGAAGGACACATCCTTGCTGGCAGAGATTTACTAATAAACAAGTTCCAGCCCTGACATTTTATTTCTGGAACAGTTAACCTAGGTGAGCTCATTTACATCTTCCTAATTTCTGGATCTCATTCCCAATAACGGTGTATCTTTTTTCCATTTTGAAGATGCTGACAAAGTAGAATTAAGTGACTACTATAAAATACTACCTACAACTAAATATTTGAGCTAACAGTGATATTCAGTTGCAGAATTCTGAATGATTTTTTAATTTTTTTTCATATTAATTAAAACAAAATTAATGCACACGGGAAACAAAATCACCTGGGATGTTTCTAGTACAAAGGCTATGCTTTTAATTTGTGGAAACTGAGAACATAGGATCAGAGAAGCTAAAAAAAGATTATAAATTTGAAAAGCTGTACTACAAATCAACTGTGTTATTATACGATTCTAGTCTTCCCCATAGTCTGCGGCAACTTTGTGTATGGCCACTTGAGATGGTGAAAAAAAAAATCCTAATAGGGAGCTCTACTGCTTACAACCAGTGGTGTCCCCCAGCTGTTGAGTGGATTATACTGGGACATAACAGGGCTTACAACTGACCAAGACGGATGCATAGCCATATAAAATGCAATTAACTTACATTTAATTTTAAAAGATTCTTTGGTTGCCTTACTGATTTAAAGTCAATTGTTTTCTTAGTTTCCTGCATTAGTTATTCTTGACAGATTTTACCTCTCTTGTTGACTATTTAATGTCTATAAGAATGGGGTTATCTCTATCTATCTATCTATCTATCTATCTATCTATCTATCTACCTATCTATCATCTCATTCTGAACCGCCCATCTGCTCTGCACTAGATAGCTTAAAATGAATAAAATAATCAGACAGAAGCATACATGTTTTATTTATGCCCAATTACCTCAAAATTTCTGAGAAAGAATACAAGCACATCTTTATAGCTGGGTTTCTCATGAAAATATGATTTAAGGATTGGAATTATGGTTATAAAAGATTTGGAACTAGCAGAATATAATAGAGGTGTACAAAATTCTGTGGTAGAGCTGTGGAATTTTTATTTACCCCCAACACGTATAATTTTTTCCTCTGTTCCATTCAAACAGAAAAAATCTGAATATTCCTGGATGGTTAATGTAATTCTGGAAGTGGATTACTCAAAATTGGAAGTAATTGTATATTCTGGATGCTGCCCAACTACTCTTCTATGGACAGTTCATGGCGAAAGGTAGACTACACCCCTCTCTAGGGTTAAAAATATCTATTTATGGTCACATTTAGAATATAATATATAATTTTGTTTAGTATATCTCAAAAAGGATATAAGATCTATTATAACATTTTGTGCACCAGAACATCCTAATTCAAAGCCACTCAATATCTTCAGGAAAGGGCTAATGCTTTCTCGTCCGGATTATGGGCTTCCCAAAAGAATCTGGTTGACTGTTGTGAAAGGATCATACTTATAAAGATGCACTATTGATCTCTTCCAGTAGTTCTTCAAGCCAATATAAACTAATTTATCAACACACAAACTTTTGTGAATTATAGTACAGTTTAACAGATAATTGGAGCACAGACCTAAAAGGAGTTCACATGTACACCCTGCTGTTGATGGGACAGTGTCTTTTAAAGTAGGGGGAAAAGAGATGGTTACAGGAAATGAAAAACACTGGGGATGACATATAAATTGTCTAAATATTGCCTTACATTTTTAAAAAAGTTTGTTTAAACTCCCTCTACTTTACAATAATGTAAATATTAAAAAGTCACTGTTGAACAGCCTATTTTTTCTTTTGCTAGGTAAAATATCCTATTGGCAAATCTGAAGTTCAGGAATAAAATAGCCATCATGAACATGCTTAGCTGCGGGGACTGAGGATTTCCCAGATGTACAGCTAATTTCAACAGAGCTTGCTGGTGTCTTATATTAAAGGCTTCCAAACATGAAGCAGATGTAACCAGGAGGCATATAAATTATGCGAGAACCCAAATGTCTGGAGCAATGCTTGAGAAAGCGATTTTCTTTCTTTCTGTTAAAGGAGCTCATTCAACTGCCACTGATTCTGTAAAAGCTAAGACAGCTATTATTTAATTAAGTAAAGTATACTTTATTGCTTAAAGCTAATCTAATGTTTAAGTTGTCTTTTAATACCAGATTATAGTATTAGATTGTAGTAAGTAAAACAAACAAAATTTTACAAGACTTTTAACCTTAGTGTCTCCCATGTGTAGTTTTATGGAAGATTTCATGTTTCATTTAATGTGATATCCAGTTAAATTCTCTGGAATGTAATTCAACCAGGTATGCCATATATGTTTTGTTGGAGTAATTTGTAGAACTGTGTTGACAAGCAAACTCCAGCAGCTGTCCACAAGCCCATATAAAATGTTTAGTGAAAGAAAATATTAGAAATCTTAGGAAGATAGCTTGGAAAGAAGGCAAAAAATAAAGAGTTAACCATTTGGATTATAAAGGGCAGAGGGAGTGGCAAATGAAATCTACCCAGACATATTCAGTTTTTACTGCAGTTTCTAGATTTATGCACTTAGTCATCTCTCATCTAATTATGTAATATTTTCAACATACAAATATGCTTTTGGTGTCATCTTTATATCTTTCAGAGTAGTTTCTGGTGAATGCAATAGTTCCAGTTCAATCAAAATCTTCTTTATGGTACTGTACACACAAAACTTTTTGTAACTGGAATTATTTATATTATCCACTGTCTAAGTGAGTAAGATTATTTTAGGTATAACACATTACTTCCTTAGTATCATAATACTGTTTTTACTTTATTCTTCAATTTTTTTGTAAATAATGTTTCTAAAATGATTTTTAAATTTTAATATGATTCTATTGACATTATATAATCTAGTAATTTGATTTAATAATTGGACAGCCACTATGAAATAGGACTGGAAACACGAAGTTCACATTTGCCCTTCCTCATGGGAACCAACTGGGCCAGTTATTTTCCCTGAGCCCACTTCATGAGATTGTTGCTCCTGGGATAAAAGGCAAGGAAATCCCTACGTAAACCTTATGTTTTTAGAGGAAAGACAGAATAACAATCAAACAACTATAAAGATGGAAACCCTCTAATGAAACTCTTAAGGCGGCATCAGGCTTTAAGGAACTGTACCAATAAAGGAGAATATTTGTAGTTCAGGGTTGAAATTAAGAGTGCTTACTGCTCTCTGAGCTTGGTTGATTTCTTGCAGACATTTCATTATCCAAACTAGGTAACACCATCAGTGTTAGCAATGCTAGTTAGGGTAATGAACATCTGCCAAAAAAGCCAAACAAACAACCAAGCTCAGAGAGCACCAATGACCCCTCATTTAAGAAATTCTGTTGGTCATCTTTTTGAACTGTTGAGCATATTTGGAATTATGAGAACATGTCAACAATCTTCTCACAAACTAACTGAACTTTTACTGAACAGGAGCAATGAACAGGTTTATTTACAATAGCACATACATTCTGTTTATACACTTTACAAGAAAGAGCTTTACATGGCAATAAATAAAAGACACATATAATTCATTTGCTACTTCAAAACTAAAGAACAATTTCAACGTAGAAAATGGCTCCTATATTTCTGGAGAAGAAATTCTCCTATTACCAAACCCAAAGAATTCTCTAGCACATAAAAGGATTCTCATTTAGACTGACAACATATTCAGTGGTTTAGTTTGGGGCTGGGATAAGAAGAACCAGGTTCAGGAATCTGTTTGACCAAAGTGAGTGATTTTGATCTAGTCACTTCCTTTTAGCTCAGCCTATCTCACAGGGTTTTGTGCAAATAAAATAAAGGGAGACTCCTATATGTACAACACTGAGCTCTTAAACCTAGAATATAAAGCAATAATAATTAAAAATAACTTATTGATATATAAAGGATTATTTAAATAAAACAATACCTGCAGCCTTTGATATATAACATATGCCCAAAAACTGCAACGCTGAGGTAAATCACCCATCTGAAAAACAATTAAAATTTGGGCTAATATTGAATTCCAAACTATTACTGATTGATTACTTTACTGATTGTAAAATTGTTGAGGAAAAGAAATACCTGGTAAATTTCCTGGAGACAATGAACAGCTGGGGGGAAATATAAATTTGACAGTTGTTCTCTTTCATCTGCATCAATGTAATCAGCAGAAGCAGCAAGAATGTAACAGAAACTTGGAGGAAGCTGGTTAGCAGTAACATGCTGAAAATAATAAAAATAGATACAGTCATTTAATAAATGGATGGTCCAAACTAAATTTATTTGGTGCAGACTAGGAAGTCCTTCTAAATAAGTGAAACGAGACAGTTAGCAGACAACTTCTCCAAATGTCAATCCTCTCTGCAAAATCAGAAATAATAGTTCATCTACATTTTCTTCCGAGTATGCACCCACAACTTTATGACACATAAGAATATAGTGAAGCACAAAGCAACAAATCACGGAAATGGCTTTTGCTGTGATAAAACTGGCCAAATGGGGTTCTAATATTTTCATTTCCTCACATACTTTCTCTGCCATTTTGGACCATCCATTTATTAAACGTTAGGATGAAACCAACAATAAATATTTTAAGCTATGTTACTGAGAAGCAAGAATGCTGCCAAACTGAATCTCCAGCAGCAAGAGGATAATTGAGGACATGAATAGTACAGCTAGTACAGCATAACATGATGTTCTCTTTATCGATGGCTATTATGAGATCAAATCTGTTTTATTTATTTGAAAATTGTATAAAGCAAATATAATGCTAATTATAAATTTAAAGGTCAATAAATATTGAGAGTTATTTTTTGATAATTACTCCAATTACAAAGGAATGGCAATAATAAAAAAGCTTCATCTTTGTATATCCATTTGTGCACTTGGAGTTTCTGAAATATCACAACTTATTAAATCTGTGATTCATGTTCCAAAAAACCATATACTTATTTAACATCCTATTTAAAGGATCTTGGGTGCTTTTGCCCTATTTTCTCTATATGAATGCAAATCTGGAATTCACAAACCCCGTCTTCAATCAACATTGCTTTACCCAAATTAACTAAGAGATAAGTGCAAGACAATAATTGAATATACCGCCACAGAATTTTCAATGTGAATTAACAAGAAATTCAGCAAAGCATGATTTTTTAAGTATATCCTTTCACTAGAAGACATAACACACAAATGCCCCTTGCATCAATGTTTGCGTTTTTTATTTTGTACAAAGCATGATTCCTTACAGACTGCAGAAGTGGGTGGTGTACAGACGGGGGGAAGGATTGGAAAGAGCTTTTAAAGAAAGATTGATTTGTGGAGCACTTAGAAAATTCACAGAAGGGTCAGAAAAGGGTTTTACTCTATATTAATCCAAATCGGTTTTGGTGGTGAATTCCCCACAGCAGTAACCCAGTGAGAGTTTTATGCTGATGAAGGAACATTTCTGGGTTTCTCCCACACTCTTCAGAACACAGCTAGCATACTAACAATAGGAAACGAAGCACAGCAGTGATAGAACTACAATTGTGGAAGGACTACACCCACAGGTACAAGATGGAACCACTTAAAAGCATACATCTTCCCCTGCTAAGAGAGAAGGAAGAGAACAACCCCTCATTAAGCCTGGTACCTTAACCATTGCACCAAACTGTTCCTTCATTTTGAGATTTATTTATAAAGGAATTAAAATACAAGGCAAAGCAGGCTATAACTTCTGCCCTAACCATAACTCCACCTGTTCCATTATTCAAATCCTGCATGACTCCTACTTTAAATTTTACACAAAGAGCAAAAGCATCAACATACTTTAATCTGGGGTTTAATATTTTGTACAGTCCCTCCCAGATTGAAGTTATAATTAAGTAGGAACCTTAAATAATATTTTATTTTTCTGAGATAAGAGATAAGTAAACAGATTTTCCATTTATTAGATTAAGAGGAGAGGAGAGGAGAGGAGAGGAGAGAGAGATAAGATAGAGGGGGGGGGGGGGGGGAGAGAGGGAGTGAGCTTCAATTTATTCCTTACAAGGCACAGAAAAATCTCCTTATATATTGAATATGCAAAATCTATGCAACATTGATTTTATCTACTTCGACTTCAATAACAGTTAAAATATGGATATTTCTATGCAATATTTGAGAAAAAAAATATTTTAGTGTAAACTACAAGAATATTCTAGTTTGCCTTGTTATCATTTTGAATATGCTTTTGTAGCAGGAAATACATCTTCCAAGCTAGAATGTACCTTAGCTATCTTTCTCTCCCAAACTGCAAGTTATAAATCAGTAAAACAGAATCTGAGAATCTCATTAAATTACTGTCAAATTTTAAACAACAAACTATGGTGTCTTAATTACTGCAAACAGTTTTGCATACATTTTATTTACTTCACATTTTCTCATTTTTACAGCTAACAGCACTGCTTTAGCATTAATAAAGTATTCTATTATAGAAGTTTATCTCCTTCATGTATGGTTCTAGCTCTAGATCAAATATGATAGTTGATTGAAGAGAATAGAGTATTTGCAACTAAAGACACTACTCTGACGATTATAAAATGAACCTAGGTTAAATCAAATTAATTTGGAATTTCATGTACGTAATTATACTAAACATTTCATTTTTAATTTCCTTCAGGAATCTCAATTTTTAGGACTCTTTGCTTCTAAATTTAAATACTTTTCCATAGAATGAAGATTATAATATTTTCTGTTGCACATTACCAAATAACTTGGATCAGTAATTGTTGGTGATGTTATATTAAGGGAAGAAAGCACTATGTTTAAAGTGTAATGAGGGAATTGAGAAGATAATTCATTAAGGAAATCTTATTTATATGATTATTTTGGGAAAAAACAAGTCTAAAAGTATCTTACTGATTTATTTCCTTGTCTCTTGCCCGGAACTTGAAGAGGTGATAATGGTGGCCACAGACTGTCAATCAGACTAAAAAGCCCTAGAGTTCTGTCAAAACAAGTAAACAAAGCACAAATATGATAAAATCTATGTGAATATTACAATAAAAGTGTAACCATTAGAAACACACTATCAAAATAATTTTTGTTGTTTTTGCTGACACTGCATCTGTATTTTAATTATTTTGAACTACAATGGAATCTTGTACTACTACTATAAGAAATTTCACGATACATTGATATGGAAGCCATTCTACATGAGATGGTATGTGTCTATGAGAATCCAATATACTGTAGAATTAAAATACAATGCAGCAATGACTAAAGCCTGTAATTTAATTATGAAAAACAGAAAAGATGTAAATAAGTTATGTTGTAAAGGAAGCGGTGGAAGGTAGAAAGCTAATCTGAAAAAAGTTTTACAGAAAATCCAATATAACAGGTTAATGATACATTTAATATTTTGGGAATGATGTCAAAGTAAAGATTAGTTTTGATATATGGCTTTTATTTTCTACAGTGCACATTGAAACCAAATATGCTAATTTCAGTGCAATTATAACACCTACTGGCAGTCTCTAGCCAGTAGAAACATTTTTATTTAAATTATTGGTTGTGTTTTTAGTTCTTTTCCTATGCAAAATGACATGTACAGCACAAAACAACACAGAATATTTTACATGATAAAATTTAGCAGACTGTCCTCTTTTTCTTCTTTTAGCATAATCTCTCATTAGTCACCTTCTGTTAAACAGCTATGAAGTATTCAGGTTAACTTTGGGAAGAAAGGTAACCATGCATGAATCAGCACAATAACATGAAATGATGTCAGGAAACAAAGATACTGCCTTACATAGAATTAATCCAGTTACTTTAGCAATAACTGTATAGAGTTCTAATCATCCATTCTTAGAAACAGCAGAACAAAAATGAAGTGCCAAGAAATATGTTCCATGGTAATAAAACTTTTCAAATTAAGAGCAAACCACACAGTAATTTTTTTCTAACAATTGAGTACAATGTTATTGAAATTCATTTAGCTATGCTAGTAGGAATATGCAAGAATTATTAGGTTTTCTGGTACCTCTTCACTTTAAGATGCAAAAAAGTACCCGTGACTTTTCTTACCTTCCCCTGGTGACTCTTCGCAAAATTTTCAGTCTAGAAACACGACAGCATTTTCCTTCCCATTTTTTTCTATATTGTTCTATCAGTTTTGAAGAAGAACATAAAACTGGAAGCTGTATTTCACTAAATATTCCATAGATGTCCTGAACCAGTAGACACAACCTACAAAAAAGTTTGTAAATAATATCTCATTAGCAACACGCTATTTCTATACCTCGATCATTTCGAGGGTTTTCTTTTAATTCTAGGAGAGAAATTTTAATTCTACTTTAAGACTTCCTAAATTCTAATGCAATTGGCATGCTTAGCAACTGGTAATCAACTGCTTTATTAAGTATATCAATTTTTAAAAAGACAACCAAGCACACTTAAGATTTTCAGCAATAATTTACATGAATCTCGGCTATGATGACCAATGACAAAAGATTTGGGAAATTGTAAAGTACAACACAATGTCACATACCTAATTGCCTTTCTCTAGATGTCAAATTTAAGAAAGCAGCAAAAACGTAGTAGAGAAATTCTTATTCTGAAAATTCAGTTAAATTGGGCATAATTTATTTTGTAGGCTTATGTTCTACTATCAATTTCTTTTTTAACATTTGCATTAAAGCCATCAAAGAAATAATTTAAGATACCTAACCAAGGTTACCTGCAATATCACCAATATCACCAATAAGCACGTAACATGCAAGTGTTACTTATATTGCATGTAAGTCAGTTGAAGCGTAAGAGCAATACAGATATGTTAATATTATCAGTAAGTAGCTCATCAGACCACATTCAGTCTGTTATAGGTGAGGCTGCATTTCTCAAAAACATAATGATATTAAATTTGGTCGCCACAATAAATGCCTTTCCCGTAGGTCACATTCATCACCAATGGATTCCACCAATGAATGCAAACTAATGTTGAAGGTGAGCACCAACCTAAAACTAAGGAGAAATTTCCTGACAGTTATAACAATTAATCAATGGAACAACTTGTTTCCAGAAGTTGTGGATGCTCCAACACTGGAAATGTTTAAGACAAACATTTGTCTGAAACGATATAGGGTTTCCTGCCTAAGCAGGGGTTTGGACTAGAAGACCTTCAAGATCCCTTCCCTTCTGTTATTCTGTTCTGTTATCAACACAACTTAGAGCAGAGTCTAGACTATTGCAGACTGAGATGACCTGGCCTCTAACATGACCTGCATGTTAAAAATGCATCTTACTTTGAAATATACCTAGAAAAATAATTAGGTGCAAAGTGCAACTATCAAGTTGATTGGCAGAAACTAAATTTCTGAATTTCTTACCAAACTTTTATGGTTTTAAATATTTCAACTATTTTATTTATAATAAAATTCAACAGGCTGTTATTTTTTAACCTTTTAAAGATTTAATATATTGGTATTCAGACATCTAAATGGACCAAATGCAACTCATACACAGGTAAATCCTTCATTTATGACCATCTGCTTAACAACGGTTCAAGGTTACAATGACCTCGGAAACCTGTTTTCACAATTCTGTCATACCACCTGCATATTCACAAGATCACAATTTGGGCTCCCATTTATAACCAGCTGCAATGTTCTGCAGTTGCGTGATCACAATTTAGGACCTTTCCAGACAGGTAAAAAACATCAAATGGGGAAACTGGATTTGCTTACTGACTGCAATGATTTGCTTTATGACCAGCATAAAAATGGTGTAAAACTGGGTCTGTTCTTGTGATGACTTGACTTACAACTTTTACCTGCCAATTTTAACTAATAATTGATTTAAGTGCTCTTTGCCTATCGCTTTTTAAACAGTTCTGGTGTGTATAATTCATTAATAATTATTTGTAATTTCTTCATTTTCTGTGAGCTCTTTTGGACAATTTATAGATCCTGGAGATACTTGAACTCCCATACATAAATCTTATTTACAATAATTCTACTTCCTAAACTGTCATATATCAGATTCTCCATATGAATGACCTCTACATCTATGGGGAATTTGACTGTCAGAATTTCCTCCTATGCAATCTTACAGCTGAAATATTTCTCCCCACGCCCCAAAAAGGAAGAGAAATTGAATAAATAAATAAAAAACTGTTGTGCAGAATCAATTCATTAGTTCTAAGCAACTATTCTTTTTCTCAATTCCCCAAGGATAGGCTCCAGCATGAATCTGAAAACTCAGAAGACTAAACCTCTGATCCTGGTAACCAACTCAGATTGGATGTTGAAACATTATCCTCGGACAAGTATATCTGCCTTTATTTGTGCAAAAGCTATCTGCTTATAGCTGAATATAAAAACAGGTGGAAAATTGTCCAGCGGTAAAACTGATTTTCTCCATAATTATTACCTCAAAATCATATGCAGATCCTCAAACACAAAGATAGACTGCTAGGTGTGTAGTTATGAAGAGCACATAAAACTGAGGGTGTGAGAAAAGACAGGTAAACAAGATACTCAAGAAACATGATTCACTGGGAGGAGTGAAGAGGCAGAGGCTATCTGAGATAAGAAAAATGGCAGATTAGATTATTTCCCCGCTCCCCCCTGACCTGATTTTCCTTATAACAATAAATCTAATGCCTATTGGAGGAAATTGTACAAGTGAATGTTTGAAGAAAACAATAAATAAAGCTTTTCATATCTGGCATGCTAGACTAGGTTTCTTCTTAACATTTCTTATGTTTGCAATAGGACTGTTTAGTTCTGACATGGAAGGCTATTTGTAACATGTAGATGTTCCTGAAGTATCAGAAGTAGCTAGATGCAAGTGTACCAAGTACAGTGAGAAGTAGTTCAGAGCAAATAATAAAAATCCCATTTCAAAGCTTGGGAATATTCTGTTAATTCCCTAAAAGAGCTAGAGGCAGGGGAGTGAGAAGGTGAGGCCAATTATTTTTCACTATTTTTTTAAGATTGTGTTGGTAATACTTATATTTATTCATTTCCCACTATTTATATGGAAATGGTATCATGCCATCATACCCCGCTCCTAATTAGTCATCATTCTTGAGAAAGATAGAAAATTACTTTTATCATCAGTAATTATACACATATGCCCTGAAACTTGGAATTGAAGTTGATGGGTTTTTTTTATGATTTTCATTGTTCCAAAGGATTAAGGCTAAAATGCATTCCATAAAGTAAACAGTTTTTTTTTAAAAAAAAATGCTTTTCTGAAGGCATCAGAAAAGAAAGGGGAAAGACCCAAAGGGGAAAAAAAGTAAAATTTGATATTTGTAGTAACTTTCAGATAGGTATTATAAAAGCAAAAATACAGAGCAACTAAATACATTTAATAAACGGAAAGGAATAACTGTTCAGTCTTTTGTTAACTTTCTGAGTTAATGAAAGTATAGAAAAGGGGTAAAAAGAAAGGTTGAAGTTGGTGGAAAAATAAGAGTAATGTCCATATACCTGCACTCAATAAAGACATTTACTCTTCCAAAATGGAGTGATCTTGGAATTATGCCTGGCAATTATGCTTGCCCCCGGAAGGAGAACTTCTTTCTAGATGCATCCTAGCAAGGGACAAAGCATGAGGAGGCACATGCACTCTTAACAAGACCTCTGTGTTCCATTCCTTTAATCAAAACAAGCACAAGGTTGCCCACAGAGTTCCAATCTAACAACTTGTCTGGTCAAGTCTTGAGGTGGAGCTCAAGTAGCTTCTACTGGTGTGGCTTAGAATCAAACAGCAACCCTCAAGGCTCCACCCAATGTAGATTTAATTTATCTGAACTTTTTGAATACAAACAAAAGCCCTCCACCAACTGCACACATTATCTTTAGAGCAATCAGAACCAGGGAATCAGATATGCAGGCAATGAAAAATAAAAATAAAGAAGTCCTTTCTTTTCTAGCCTGTAATACTAGAATTCTAAAAGTAATTCTTCTGCAAAGAAACTTCATATTAGTTCTAATATCTTTCTTATCAGTTCTAGAATATTCTCACACCTCCATGTTTTGGCTGTTGTGTGTTCGTTCATAATTTATTTTGATAAGAATAAGCACATGTAACCCAAAGCCACATTAACTAAAACCTGAATAATATTAGTCAGAATCAAAACCAACTTGAAAATATATTTGTTATACAGAAGTTTTCTCATCTAAAGGAAAGCAACGTTCTTTATAACAGACAAGAAACTTAATTATTTGTATTTCTGGAAATAAAGGTAAAATTCCATTTTTAAGGAACTACATCAAATTTGAAGAAATAAGCACTAAAATCCAAACTAGAATTTACCAAACAGCTGGTATTTCTGAAAACAAGTTTTGGGATTTTTTTGTTTTGATTTGCTGAAATCGGCATCCTTTTTATTATGCATTCCTCATACACATAACTGAATTAAAGTCCCTCTGAATTCCATGAGGCTTACATCAAACTATACACAAAACTGAATTTTTAATATTGTGCAAAATCTATCAAGAAACCACAACTTCTGAAACCTTATGTTCCTTTTCAATGTCTCTCCATTTGTACAGCTTTGTTAATTCAGCTTCACATAACACTGTGTCATAACTCGTGTCTAGGAACACAGTTAATGCAGTGGATTTGAAGGGCTTTTCCATGATAGAAAGAGAAATATGGTTAATGCATGTTTAACTAATTATCAATTAAGTGAATTTTCTTTAAAATATTGTTTTTTGATTCAGATTATCTTATACAAATTAATCTAAATTACATAAAGCATATGCACACTTAATGAAGCAGAGTTTAACATGGGGATGATCCTTCTTTTTCCAGGTCTTTCTACATGGAATATTGTATTATCCACTCCCACTTCCATTCTTTATTTTTTGCAAGATGTCACATCCTAGTAATCATATTCATCTTTTGAATTTCTTATAAAACAATTCTTATATATCATCACAATGTACTTGTGTCTAAAGAATCACAGTTGCAACTTTTCCTAATTTTTAAGCTGTGGAATGGAAAAGCTGAAACAAAAGCTATAAAACATGAGATTGGCTGCTGACTGTTGTTCAGTAGTTCGGCTATTTCCAACTCTTTGTGACACAGTGGGCATCATTACACTAGGATCATCTGTCAGTAGTTGTTTCTTCGAATTTCCATAAGTTACTGATTGTCATCAATAAAAGTATCTCAATAGCTTGTCTTTTTCAACTGATTGCAAATTTTCTAAGCATCAGGATTTTTCCAATAAC